CCCCCCCCCCTCTCTCCCCCCTCAAAAAAGCCGCTTCCAGTACTATTGTTGAACGAACAGATAACAACAGATGAGGTTGTTGACAGCAATAATAACGATGTTGTAATGAGTTGTAATATATCCGTATTTTCTGCTTTTACTATTTCTGTTCTTCTAAAAGTTTAGTGCACAAACAAAAAAAACAGTACTTGCCCAAAGTTTTTTTATAATTTAATGCTAAAAAGTAGTGTTCAATTTGATGTAGTGAAACTGTTGCCAAAGATAACGGACGAATAAACTTGGTGCATTTATCAACTGTACGGAGAAGTAACGATCCCGAGTCTGGTTGATCATCAGAATCGAGAAGTACCGACGACATGTGATATAATTTGGTGATCGATAAATGCGGGTGTATAGTCCAATTAGAAATCCGGAGGAAAAAGTACATTACAAGTATTCAAGGTCATAAATCGCTGTGACGATAACAGTTTTTACGATCGATGGAACAACAGGCCGGAATGGCGACGACCGACTGACTGACTGACTGAATGACTGACTGACTCATCAATCTCATTTTCTAATAAATCGAATTTTTATTTTGTTCTTAGTCGCCACATTTTTTTTTACTTCGACAGAAAAAAAAAAGAGGAACAATAAAAACAAAAAAAAAAAAGTGCAAGAAAGTTGACTGCCATTTGTATAAACTTTTTTGTATGTGTGTGTGTGTGTTTTTTTTTTCAGACTGAAATTATCTTCAGATTATCTAATTTTTTGCTGATTATTGGTAAATGAGGAGTATCAAAAGGATGATTTCAAGAGATGTGCAGTAACTGATGGATAGCACACAGATCTTTTTTGCTGTAAATGATCGGATAAAGAAGCGATGAATAAGTTGGGATTAGCAAATAAAAAGATGAGCAAACAAGATGAGAAATTTTTGTACTGTTTTTAAGTTTTATCAACAAAGAAATAACGCCAAAAATCTTCTGAATATTCCAAATGTTCAATATTTGTATACCGTTTGCAAAGAACCGTCTTTTATTCTGTGCATTAATCTAGTTTTTGATAAAGTTGATTTTGATTTTAACATTTATTTTGCTCTACAATAAATGTTTGATCAGGTTTCTTAGAAAATTTGTGTGGTAGAAATGGCAACGATAGATATGTTGACGACGAGAAACCGTTGTCGGAAAGAATAAGCAGAATATCTATTGATATGAGAAGACTTACTTATAAGTCACCAGAAAAAGTGTTATTCTTTTGCGGTAACGTGGAATAAATTACTGCAAAGACTTGAGAACAACAAAAAACCATCCTAAGAAATTAGCATCATCATTATCATCATCATCATTTTCAACGTTAATTGCAAAGTTTTTACAGTACAGAATTCTACTCAAAACTCTGCTTAGAAAATCATTTGCTTTTGAGAAGCCGGTAAACAGGAGTATTTGGGAAAAAGAAAGTTATACTATTTTATAGAAACAGTTGTACAAAATTTACGACTGCAGTCATAGTCACCAATTTTCACTCGACTGTATACTAATTTAAAACTGTTCTTTCGACAAAAATTCGTTTCTATACAGTTTTTTCAAACAATTTTTCACTGGAACAGTTTAAGATCGATTTTGTTTAGGCAGTAAATAACAATTTAGTCAATATCTGTTCAGCAGTTTACAGATCTTAGTACTTTTTAGTTGCTAACAAAGCTAGTAAACTCTATTCTTCTTTATTCTTTCCAACCAAATTTTTATCAACAATAAAGTTGTAAATATCCAACAATTTTATCTCATTTAACTGCATTTTTGATAAAAGAAAAAAGAAAAAAAAAGAGCAATAAAATTTCTAATAACATAAAGATAAAGCCAAAAAAAATATATCGAAGCAGAAACAGAAAAATTTTTTCAATACTTTGTTTTTCTAATACTTGAAATTTTCTGTGATTTATATAACATTTAATTATTCACCAAGAAAAGTATCTGATAAGGATTAGTTAGGCTTTCCTCTTTCTCCTTCCTTCTGTCATTTCATTCAATTCATTTATTCATTCATCCACTTATGCGCACATAAATTCCTGCATTTATTCACCAGTTCAACACTAAAACTATCAGCAAAATAAAAAGTAAAAAAAAAAGAAGCGGTCTAAAACCGGATGATCTTTAAGCAAAAGTAAAAAAGTAAAAAAAAAAAGTATTTTTAGTTCTGTAAATCAATAAAAATTGAAAAATCTTAAATCCTTCTTTTGAAGAAAAGAAAAAAATAAATTTTTTTTTTCTTGACAGTTTTTTTTCAGCAATTCTTTTTCTTACTTTTTCATCACTTTTTACTGTCAGCGGTGGCATTTTGGTTCCACTTTTTCTTGTTTAACTATAAACAAATTTGGATAAACAAAACATATGCATGAGCAAGCTGAAAACTTCTTTTTAGTACCTATGAACAATGACGATGATGATGATGATGATGATGGCGATAATTAAGATTAAGTTTATTGGCGAAGAAGAAGAAGAAGAAGAAAAAAAGAAGGATAAAAAGATAGAGAACCACTTTTAAACTCAAAATAACAAAAAAATATTGTGAAAATTTTTATTAGAGAGAAAAAAAAGACAAAAAAAAAAAAAAAAAAGTAACCGTGTAGTTTGAAAACCAGAAATTTTTTTCTTTTTTTCCTCCAACTCAATTTTGCAGTTTGACAACAATTTTTTAATGATGCAGCAGTAAACGGAAATTTTGTCTGTTTCTGTTTTTTTTTTGTTTTTTTTTCTCCTTTGTATTCTGTTTTGTTTTCCTTCTGCTGTAAGTCCTTTTCTGCTTTTTTGCTGCTCTTCTATCTGACAATCGTTTAATTTTCAATTTTCCGTATACAATTATTATAAATTTAAAAAAAAACACACGCACACACACAAATACAGAAACATTTAGAGAAATGCTCTAAAACAAGACAAAAA